AGAGAGAGAGAGAGAGAAACAAACCCAAGCAGGCTCCTTGCTGTCAGCACAGAGCCCAGTGCAGGGCTTGAACTCACCAACTGTAACATCATGACCTGAGCACAGTCCCACGCTTAACTTACTGAGCCACCCAGGAGCCCCAGAAAGTATCTTCTATTTTAACTGCAGGCTGTGAGCTAAGGTATATGGATTACTATAATGAAATTAAAACCTCATGCAGAACAGAAACCTGTAGCCATAACCAAAGCCCTTCACATTCAGTAAAATGCAGAAGCTAGTGCTTGACAGGGTTGTGGGGACTGGTTTTCAAAGAGACCATCTTCTGCCCTCCTCCTCCTCCTGTATCCAACCCTTCCCCCCAGCTGTCACCTGTGGGAGGGTTCCACTGTAGTCCGATCAGCAGGGCCAGAAAGAGAACATGAGCAGGAATCAGCCAGCTTTAGCTCTATAGCTAAGGACAATGTGGCCTCCGAACTGTGGCTTCACATCTTGGAGCATTCACCTGTGCTGGAAGAGACCCATGGAGGCAGGGGAGTAGTGGTAATCAGCTAGAAGCTCTTCTAAGCCCCTCAAAGAGGAGTCCAGAAAAGGGAAAGGCCTTGGCATCTTCTGTCAGACTGGCCCTCAGATCTCACCCCACTTGCTTTTCCTAAGTAGTTGGACCTGTTCTATGACAAGTCCAAAAGACTAGTTCAGTCTAGAGCAAGACTAGGCAAGATCAGCTGTATTGAATCATTTTATTATCACCTTCAGCCCTATTTCCACTCCTTACCAGGTCATATTCATGATTCCAGACACACACACAATCCTGTCTTCCCACCCACATCTCCTTGTTTGTGTCCCCACTTGAGCTGACCCCAGGCCCACCAAAGAGGGGACCCAGAGCTCCAAGTTGGCCTGGAAACATTCATAGCTGCCTGGAGGGGGGGCTGGGACCAGGAGGGCAAAGGCAGAACTAGGCAGACCAGGAATGAGAGACCCATCATCCCAGCAACCTTCCCACAAAGCCCCTGGGCTCCACAAGAAGAGTGATGATGCCTGTAATTTTCTCCTCGGATCCCACCACACTGAACTTTAATCTGTGTGATGATCTGTGAGAGAATCTACCACAGCTGGTGCAACAGGCAAGCCTGGCCTTTGTAGTGAGAAGTGCCATCAGGCTGGCTTTATTCCTTCCATCTCATTTTAGTGCAGGTGAATGTGATGGTGCTCTGGAGAAGCACACTGACATCTTTGTAAAAATCTAGAATAAGCTTTAGGTTGTAAATAAAATGCAAACTTTAGCTCAGTGATATAAAAAATAAACATGATTGTGTTAAAAAGATATTAGCTGTACTTGTAATCTTTAGGCTTTTTAAAAAAATAAAACTTTTGGGGGTGCCTGAGTGGCTCAGTCACTTGAGTGTCCAACTTCGGCTCAGGTGATGATTTCACGGTTCATGAGTTTGAGCCCCTGTTGCACTCTGTGCTGACAGCTCAGAGCCTGGAGCCTGCTTCAGATTCTGTCTCCCTCTCTCTTTGCCCCTCCCCCGCTCATGCTTGCTCTTTCTCTCAAAAATAAACAGTAAAAAAATTTTTTAAATCTTCTCCCTTTGAAAATTCTTAAATTTTTTCATCTTATAAATTTTATTAATAACAATAAATCCTCTATTAGACACTCACCACGTGCCTGCCACTGAGCCCTTTAAAACAAATTGTTTTAATGTTTATTTTTGAGAGAGAGCGAGCATGAGCAAAGGAGAGGCAGAGAGAGACAGAGGATCTGAAGTGGTCTGTGTGCTGACAGCACAGAGCCCGATGCGAAGCTCCAACCCATGGACCCACGAATCATGAGATCATCACCTGAGCCAAAGTCAGATGCTTAACCAACCAAGCCACCCAGGCATCCCTCACTGCCTGAGCACTTTAAATGCACCATCTGGGGGCGCCTGGGTGGTGCAGTCGGTTGGCGTCCGACTTCAGCCAGGTCACGATCTCGCGGTCCGTGAGTTCGAGCCCCGCGTCAGGCTCTGGGCTGATGGCTCAGAGCCTGGAGCCTGTTTCCGATTCTGTGTCTCCCTCTCTCTCTGCCCCTCCCCCGTTCATGCTCTGTCTCTCTCTGTCCCAAAAATAAATAAACGTTGAAAAAATAAATAAATAAATAAATAAATAAATAAATAAATAAATAAATAAATGCACCATCTGGAATTCTTGCAATAACCCAGGGTCCCTGAGAGTTAAGGGTGGTGCCTGCAGGTGTGGAGTAGTAGGGGGCGGTCTGAATTCAAACCTAGGACTACTAGCTGTCAAACTTGACTGCATATTGGAGTGACCTAAGCAGCTTTAAATGCCATGATGGGTGCCTGGGTACTAAAGCAGATTGTGGGGGTGGTAACCTAAGCACAGGATTTTTTTTTTACAAGCTCTCCAGGTGATTCTCATACGCAGCAGACACTGGGTATCTTGCTCAATGCATCCCTCAAATCTCTTAGGCTTTCAGTGTTTTATAACCCCACAACTAAAACTGTAAGGGAGAATTTAGATGACCCAAAATTAAATAAGCTTTAAGGCAATTTGGGAAGGTGGGGTGGGAGATCAGTTGATCTCATAGTGTGGGAGTTTGTGGACCAGATGTGTAGAGGGTAATGCTGGAGCCAGTGAGGGCATGTGTCCCTCTCAGCATGGACCTGAAGGGATAATTCTGGGCCCCTCTGCCCTGGGACGTGGCAGGTCATCTTCCAGAAATGTCTCTGTCCTCCCATCTGGGGGTTCATGTTTCATAAAACCTCTCATTCCTGACACTTGGGAGGGAGGCTGGGAGGCCAGTCAGCCTGCCTGCCTGCTCTGCGCACTTTCTTTCTTCTTGTCCTAGACCACAGTGAATGCAGTGGAGTCAGCCAGGCAGAGGGAGAGCCCTGGCCTGACATCGAGAGCTTCAGTAAAATGCCCTTTGACGTCAGCGTGCATGATCCCAAGTACAGTTTGATGAGCCTGGTATATACTGAGAAGCTGGCAGGGGTCAAACAAGGTCAGTGCAAGCAGAGCCAGGCGCACCTCCTCTGAAGGTCAAGGGGCCAAATCAGAGCAGGAGGCCTGGGGCAGTTTAATCTTTGAGCGCAGTTTAAAGTAATTCTGCTTTTCTCTTGTACACATATGTATCACCTTTTACTTTTCATACCCGACTTACAGAGCATAAATTATAGACTCCTTAGGAGAGTCCTGCAGGGAGTGGGGGACTTTCTTCCCAGGAGTAGGGGCTTCATGCACATCATGGCAAGGTTTTTGTCCCTTTATACACAGAAGCAATAAAGGATTCCAAAGTTGAGGAGCCCAGGAAGCGAGGAACCGTGTCCATGATGCTGACCAAATACGCGGCCTACAACACCTTCCACCACTGTGAGCAATGTCACCAGTACATGGACTGCACCTCTGCCTCCCAGGTGTGGCCCCCTGTGCTTGCCTGTTACCCAGCATGGTATTGTATATATGGAATGAAAAATACGGCTCCCAGTTTCGGGCCCTAGATAGAGGGTACTTGATTTATGAGATGGAGCCACTCATTTGTGAGCAAAATGTGTGAAGCCATTAATTAAAATTACTTTGGGTTTATTAGGATTGGGGGGAGGGGAAGAGAGAAAGAAACTTGCGTTTTAGTGTCTGAAGTCACTTCATTGAAATGGTTACATGTGTCATGTTTAGGTTACCTGGGATGTTCTCTGTAATCCTGAAAAAACTGGATATTATAGTGTATTTGGTGAAAGGTTCTTTTCATCCCCTGCTTTGGGTTGTTGATGAGAAGGGTGCTCTTTTTTTTAAGATTTTTTTTTTTTAAGTGTATTTCATTTTGAGAGGGGGCAGGTAGACAGGGGCAGAGCCCAACATGGGGTTCGAACTCACGAACCATGGGATCTTGACCTCTCGACCTGAGCCAAAGTCAGAAACTTAATAGACTGAGCCACCCAGGCGCCCCAGGAATGGTGCTCTTACCTCTAACATGCACAGGGTGTGCCCTTTGAGCTGTGAACAGGTCTGCTGATTTGCACTGACCAAGTCATATTCCTACTCCAGTGTGGGGTAGTTTTGATCATTAGGCATACAGAGGAGTCAATATTTGATCTTTTATTTAGAGAGAAGTGAGAGGAAGGAACACAGAAGGTGAGCCAATACCCCACTGTCTTTGTTTCTTCTGGCCAGAGCATCTGTAAACACTCAAGATGGTAAAGGCAGCAGGTGACAGTGGTCCAGAACCTATGTAGGGGAGAAGTTCTCTGTTGCTTTCTCCCACTTTAGCTTCTTGATTTTTATGACTTAGTTCCGAACACCTAAAACTCTTCCTATGGGACATGCTGATTAGACTTCACCCAAACTTGCTTCTGCTCTTAAGGATCAGGTCTCCACCCTTTTCCCACAGGGGCTAGAAGTGATATACTGAAAAACTGGGTTGGTCATTCTGCTCTTGTAACACAAATTACCTTTTATGTACCATTTGTTTTCTTGGTGTTAACCGAAAGCTTTTGGTGGGCTAATTTGTAAACCACTCATGATGCTTTACAGAATATAGAAGATTCAAGTACCTGGTCTACAAATCATAAGCTTCTAGATAACTTAAAAATCCTGTTTATATAGTTTCTGTGATCATTGTACTCTCTAGTATATTCCAATGCTTGTGAAGCAGAATGAACCAGAATTCAAGGGAAGAATTATACTATTTTCCTAGGAAATATAATATTTAGGTTAAAAATCTTAGGAAATCTACCTGGACTCTAGTTGCTGCTGAAAATTGATGCTATCCTTTCATTAAGCCAAGTACTGTCTGCATTGTAAAGCACATAAATTATGTAATTACTCATTGAGCTGGGTTACTGAGCGAGCATGTGAACTTTATAACACTTTTTTTTTTCCAAGTAAGCTCTGTACCTAACGTGCAGCTTGAACTCCTGGTCATAAAATCAAGAGTCACATGCTCTACTGACTGAGCCAGCCAGGTGTCCCAACTTTCTGGCAATTTTAAAAATAAGTTAGATTTATAATTGGCTTCAGTGAGTCAGATGGTCTCTCCTGGAAGCCAGAGTTCTATGCTAAATGACTTTGAAACTTCTTCAGCTTCCACGGTAGCCAGGAAAGATGGGACCATGGAGGCATTTTAATGATGTTGGCCCTAATATTTTACTTAGAAAAATGATACTCATTTAGCCTGATGCACACAGATGGAAATGATTTTTTCCCCTATATTTGGGCACCTTTGAAAATGTTTAGCGAGCAGGAATATTTAACCTCTGCATAAGACTGAGGAGTAGTGGTTCTAAGAACATAAGGAATGCAAAAGACAGTGTCAAGCAACAGAAACTTCACCCGTGGAGAGGCCGTGTAGGGGCAGGAGGCTTGGCTCTCAGGTCAATGGCAGCTACTAAAAGATGAAATGTTTGCGTTTCCAACTCTTCCGACATTTCAGGGACAGCCAAGTCTGATGGCATGTATGAGTTCAGGTTAGTTCACCTCTCTTAAAAATGTTAACAAGTGGTCGAGAAGTTTGCAAACCATGAGCTTACATCCCCTTCCTTCCTTCTTTACAAATCTAGATGTCTGACTCCACCCTTCATGCATTCACATTCTCATCCTCTATGCTGGGAGAAGAGGTGCAGCTCTATTTCATCATTCCCAAATCCAAAGAGAGTCATTTTGTCTTCAGCAAGCAGGGTAAACACCTGGAGAGCATGCGGCTGCCCCTGGTTTCAGACAAGGTGGGTGACAGTGTCTGGATGCCAACACTGCTTTCAGACTGACAGGCCCAAGGTACTAGATCAGGGTCTCTAAACTTCTTCAATCTAAGGGTTTTAACTTCCCTTTTTGGTCTCTGGTTCTTTCTTTTTTTCTTTTTTTTTCCCCCTTTCAGCAGAATTTGAATGCAGTCAAGAGCCCTATTTTCACTCCTTCCAGTGGTCGCCATGAGCATGGACTCCTAAACCTTTTTCACGCCATGGAGGGCATCAGCCACCTGCATCTTCTGGTGGTCAAAGAATATGAGATGCCGCTGTACCGCAAGTACTGGCCCAACCACATCATGCTGGTGCTTCCTGGCATGTTCAATAATGCAGGCGTGGGTAAGGGGCCCCCTGGGACACGGAGAAGGGCTGAAAGATAAAGCGAGCTCATTGCCTAGACATGAAACTTTCAAATGTTCCCCAGCCCCTGAAAAGGGTCCTGCCCCCCTGACCAAAGGACTTTTGATTTTTCTTTAAATTTGAGTTTTCCTTTTCCTCTATCTGCTGCTTTGCAGAATTTTTAACTTCTGAGGGCTAGTGACTAAAGAAGTCACTGGTATATTGAGTGCCCCGGAAAGGGTTTGGGATTCTTCCCAGTGATGGCTGGGCCTGCTGCAGCAGGAACAGAACAGTGAGAAGGATGGTCCTGGGGGGAATGGGGTGGTGGAGCTAGTTCACTGTGTTCAAGAGGGATCTAGAGGTGTCCCTAAGCCATTGCTAATCATTTTAAAGGCACATGGCAAGTTCTAAGGGGTTCTGTCCAACTGGAAATTGGAAGTATCATTACTGCCTATGGCAGTCATCTTAAAAGTGCCTAGAAAAGTCTCGCTTGCTTTTCCCCCACGGAGTGTAAGAGCAATGGGCGGATTTGTCAAAGGGGCATATGGTTCTTCAGCATGGAACAGAGATGTTGGGGGGCAGGAAACCTCCAATTGGATTCAGAGCTGTGTGTCTGCTCATTTCTTGTATGGTAGTTGTTAACCACTTTCTCTAATCAGCTCCTGTGGGCGTCCGACTCTGTGTAGTCTCAGAAGGGTTTAAGTTCCAAAAGCTGCTAATTGACACATTAGAGGGAAGTAGGAACATCCCAGTCCAGAACTAGAGTGAATACAGATGAGACCTGAGTAGTTTCCCTAACTCTGCACTCCTCCTCTCCCGGGTCTCACTTTCCCTTCTTTTCCCCCTCAGCCTGTTTCTCCCTCTGCTGATCTGTCCATCCCTCTCCCTTCCTTCTTAGAGCTTTCCTCTTGTTCTCCCTTCCATTCCTTTTTATGTCCTTAAATATAGAATTAAAATATTTTCAAAAATTTGTTTTGAATACTAGTTTCCATGTTTATCACTTTATATCAAGTGAATTAAGGCTTTTACATATTTTTGGTTCTTTGTCCTCTCCAAAACCACATATCCCCAGACTAACTAAAATCTTTTTCTATAGGAGTATGACCCTCAAATCACCCCCTCCTATGCCTTACCAATCGTTAGGTGACTTTCCTCATCCCAGATCTGATGAATTTGCATAGTTATAGTTTTGCCACTTCTGCAATAATTTGAGGAGAAGCTAACATATATGCAAATGAAATGCAGATTATTTTTTGTTAAAAAACACATAAAATTTCCCATCTTAGCCATTTAAGTGTACGGTTCAGTAGTGTTCAATATATTCACATTGTTTTGCAACTAATCTCCAGAACTCTTTTCATCTTGCAAAACTGAAACACCATACTACTGAAGATTAACTCCTTAATCTTCTCCTCCTTTCCCTGGCAACCACCATTCTACTTTCTGTCTCTGCATGACGACTTTGGGTACTTCAAGTTTAATCTTACAGTATTTGCCTTTTGTGTCTAGCTGAATTCACTTAGCACAGTGTTCTCAACGTTCATCTATGTTGTCCATGTGTCAATTTCCTTCCCTTTTAAGGCTGAGTAATATTCCATTGTATGTATACACATTTTCTTTATCCATTCATCCACCTGTGGACACTTGAGCTGCTACCATTTGGCTATTGTGAATAATGCTGCTGTGAACATAGATGTACAAATATATCTCCAAGAACCCTGATTTCAGTTCTTTTAAGTACATACCTACACGTGGAATTGCTGAATCATACGATAATTCTATTTTTAATTTTTTGAGGAATTGACAAACTGTTTTCCATAATGGTACATATACCATTTTACATTCTTCTCAACAGTGTAAAATGTTTTTTCACATCCTCACTCATACTTATTTTCTGTTTTTTGTTTTGAGTTTTGGGAGATTTTTTTGTTTGCTTGTTTTTGATAGTAGCCATCCTAATGGGTAAGAGATGCTATCTTACTGTGATTTGATTTGCATTTCCCTAATGATTAATTATGTTGAGCATCTTGTTGTCTGTTTCTTGGCCATTCATATATCTGTTTTGGACAATCTATTCAAGTTCTTTTCCTATTTTAAAATTAGGCTTTTTTGTTGTTGATTTGTAGGAGTCCTTTACGTATTCTGGATGCTAACCCCCTACTAATGATTTGTAAATGTTTTCTCCCATTTCATGGGTTGCTTTTCACTGTTAATTATATCCTTTGCACAGAACTTTTAAATTTTGATGCAGTCCAATTTATTTTTTCCTATTGTTGGCTGTGCTTTTGGTGTCATATCCAAGAAATAATTGTTATATCCAGTAGCAAGCTGTTTGCCTGTTTTCTTATTTTTTTTTCTTTATACTTTTTCTTAAACTTACATCCAAGTTAGTTAGCATTTAGTGCAACAATGATTTCAGGAGATTCCAGTGATTCATCCCCTATGTATAACACCCAGTGCTCATCCCAACAAGTGTCTTCCTTAAAGCCTCCTACCCATTTAACCGATCCCTCCACCCAACCCTCCAGCAACCCCTCAGTTTGTTCTCTGTACTTGAGTCTCTTATGTTTTGTCCCCCTCCCTATTTTTATATTATTTTTGCTTCCCTTCCCTTATGTTCATCTATTTTGTATCTTAAATTCCATATATGAGTGAAGTCATATGATATTGGTCTTTCTTTGACTAATTTCGCTTAGCATAATACAATCCACGTTGTTGCAAATGGCAAGATTTCATTCTTTTTGGTTGCCAAGTAATACTCCACTGTGTGTGTATGTGTGTGTGTATACACACACACACACACACACACACACACACACATATATACATACACACACACCACATCTTCTTTATCCATGCATCCATTAGTGGACATTTGGGCTCTTTCCATACTTTGGCAATCATTGATAGTGCTGCTATAAACGTTGGGGTGCATGTGCTCCTTCGAAACCACACACCTGTATCCCTTGGATAAATACCTAGTAGTGCAATTGCTGGGTCATGGGGTAGTTCTATTTTTAACTTTTTTAGAAACCTCCATACTGTTTTCTAGAGCGGCTGCACCAGTTTGCATTCCCATCAGTGGTGGAAAAGGGTTCCTCTTTCTCCGCATCCTCACCAACACCTGTCGTTGCCTGAGTTGTTAATGTTAGCCATTCCGACTGGCGTTAAGGTGGTAACTCATTGCAGTTTTGATTTATATTTCCCTGATGATGAGTGATGTTGAGCATTTTTCATTTTCATTTGTCTGTTAGCCACCTGGATGTCTTCTTTGGAAAAGTGTCTCTTTGTGTCTTTTGCCCATTTCTTCACTGGATTATTTGTTTTTTGGGTATTGAGTTTGGTAAGTTCTTTATAGATTTTGGATACTAACCCTTTGTCTGATATATCATTTGCAGATATCTTCTCCCATTCCAATGGTTGCCTTTAGTTTTGCTGATTGCCTGATTTCTTCTAAAAGTTTTATAGTTTTAGCTCTTTCATATAGGTCTTTGATCCCTGTTAGTTTTATGTAGTGTAAGTTAAAGATCCAACTTCATTTTTTGCATGTGTATATCCAGTTTTCCAATACCATCTGTTGAAGAGACTGTCCTTTTCCCATTCAGTGGTCTTGGCACCTTTGTCAAAAATCATTTGACCATAGGCCTTAGGGCTGGACCAGAAGCACAAGGGCATAGTGCTGGGCTCTGTATTCTTATCCCATTGGTACCACATTGTTGTGATTACTGTGGTTTTGTAGTAAGTTTTGAAATCAGCCGTGAGACCTCCAATTTTGTTCTTTTTCAAGGTTGTTTTGGCTATTGAGGGTCCCTTGAGATTCCATATGAATTTAAGGATGGGTTTTTTTTTTATTTCTGCTCCAAAAAAATATCATTAGGATTTTGATAGGGATTGCATTAAATCTGTAGATCACTTTCGGTAATATTGACATCTCAACAATATCACATCTTCCAATCCATGAACACAGATGTCTTTCCATTTACTTATCATCTTTACTTTCTTTCAGCAAATGTTGTGTACTTTTTCATGTACAAGTCTTTCACATGCTTGGTTAAATAAACATTTATTCCAAAGTATTTTATTCTCTTTGATGCCATTGTAAATGGAATAGTTTTTTTTTAATTTCCCTTTTAGATCACTATTAGTGTATAGAGAGAACAGATTTTTTAGTTTTTGTATCTGCAACTTTGCTGAATTCACTTATTTCTAACTCTGTGTGTGTGTGTGTGTGTGTGTGTGTGTAATCTTTACGGTTCTCTACATTGAAGGTCATGTTGCCTACAGATAATTTTACTTCTTCCTTTCCAACCTGAGTGCCTTTTATTTCTTCTTCTTGCCTAATTGCTCTGGCTAGAATTTCCAGTAGTATGTTAAATAAAGTGGTAAAGGTGGGCATCCTTGTCTTGTTCTTGAGCTTAGAGGAAAAGCTTTCCATGTCTTACCATTACAGTGTTAGTTGTGGGCTTTTCATATACGGTTCTTACTACATTGAGAACACGTATTACATACATCCTGTTGTAAGGCAGATTTTCCTTCCTCCTTCCAAACTATTTTTCTCTTTCCTCCATAGATTCAATAGCTTTTTTAGCCTCTTCATTTCATTACCTACATTTTGTTTCATTTTCGGATGTGCAAATTTGTCTAATAAAATGTGTCTAATATGTGATCTTTTCTTAAAATTCTAATTCCAGTGTAAAACATATGGTCTTGTATTTGTTTCAGGTGTACAATATAGTGAATCAACAATTCTATACATTACTCAGTGCTCATCATGAGACGTGTACTCTTAATCCCCTTTACCCATTTCACCCCTCCCACCTCCCTTGTAACCAACCATCTCTTCTCTATAGTTAAGAGTCTGTTTTTTGGTTTATCTCTCTTTTTTCTTCATTTGTTTTGTTTTTTAAATTCCACATATAAGTGAAATCATACGGTATTTGTCTTTCTCTGACTGGCTTATTTCACTTAGCATTATTTACAATAGCCAAATTATGGAAGCAACCTAAGTGTGCATCAATAGATGAAAGGATGAAGATGTGGCATATATACACAATGGAATGTTCACTATTAAAAGAATGAAATCTTGGGGCGCCTGGGTGGCGCAGTCGGTTAAGCATCCGACTTCAGCCAGGTCACAATCTCGCGGTCTGTGAGTTCGAGCCCGCGTCAGGCTCTGGGCTGATGGCTCGGAGCCTGGAGCCTGTTTCCGATTCTGTGTCTCCCTCTCTCTCTGCCCCTCCCCCGTTCATGCTCTGTCTCTCTCTGTCCCAAAAGTAAATAAACGTTGAAAAAAAATTTTTTTTTAAAAAAAGAATGAAATCTTACCATTTGCAACAACAT